AGGATATCAGATGGCTACAGCTAGCCAAGGGCACAGTGGGTGTGGAGTTGGGATAGGAAAGCTCCTGAGGGCTTGAGCAGGCCACCTGCAGGCCTGAAGAGAGCCCAAAAGCAAGGTTCAAATGTGGCAGATGGTCAATAAAAGAAGAATGCTGGTGTGGGGACCTGGGCCTTTCCCCACATCTTACTTGGTTCCATGGTAGGCCTTTGATGTATGTTTGTTTGTTTTTGAGATAGAGGCTCACTATGTAGCCCTGGCTGGCCCTGAACTTGCTATTATAGACCAGATTACCTTGAACTCACAGAGATCCACTTGCTTCTGTCTCTGGAGCACTGGAATTATGCCCAGATCAAGTAGTCCCTACTTTAACTGAGATGCCTGCAAAAAGACTGAGACTCTGAGTCCAGCATGCAAAAGACCTCATGGCAGCCCTCCTGGAATACCTGTGTGGACAGGAGGGACACAAGAGTGAACAGAATGGAACGCTGACCATGATGGAGTTGTAACAGCAATCTCAGCTAATCTTAGGGGAGCCCTAGGGTTGCTAGGGTCCTTCAGAGTTGTCCCAAAGCTGGGCAAGGGGACAAATACTTGTGCCCACTCATAATCAGTCATTGGATGTAAACTGCCCCCGGGAAGGACACTTGCACCCTTCAGAAAGGGAGACTAACTGAGAGCTGTGGGCTGCCAATACCCTGGCAAGTGGTAAAGTGACGACTTCTATCCTGAGTGGGGGCGGAGTGGACAGGCATGCGCTCTTCAAGGAGGATCTTTGTGAATTCAAAGGCCAGCCTGGTCTATATAGGGAGTTTCAGGCAAACCAAGGCTACATGGTGAGACCCTGTCTCCATACATTCATACACACCCAGAACACAAACAGAAAAGCCAAAAGCTAATTATATTATGAAAATCTGCAACTGAATTATTTCCACCTTTGTCTAGAATCCCAAAGAAACCCTTTATTGCAATATTGGGTTTCAAACATGCTAGGCAAGTGCTTTACCATTGAACAATAACTCCCAGCCTCTGGCTCCCAGCACCCAGTGCTCTTTTTTATTTATTAATTTATTATTTTATTTTATGTGTATGCGTGTATTGCCTGCATGTAGGTAAGCGCACCCGTGTCGTGCAATGCCCGTAGAGGCCAGAAGAGGCTGTCGGATCCCCTGGAACTGGAGTTACAGTTGTTAGCTGCCATGTGGGTGCTGGGATTCGAACCTAGATCTTCTGCAAGAACAGTCAGTGTTCTTAATCGCTGAGCCATCTCTCCAGCCCTCTTTTTTATTTTTATTTATTTATTTATTATTAAAGTTGGGGCAGCACCCGTGCCAGGGCATGAGTTTGGAGATCAGAAGATAACCTTATGGAGTCAGTTCTGTCTTTCCATGTGTATTCTGGGGATTGAACTCAAGTTGTCAGGCAACTCACCATTGCTTAGTCCTCTGTGTGCTGGAGGACAGACAGTAGACTTGGTGTTTTAGTGAAAGCTTGAGTTCTATGTCACCATTGTTGAAATGGGCAAGGAAGCCAGCCTCTGGCTGAGCAAATCCCAAACCCTCTGTGTGAACTGGGAACTGGGATGCTTGAAGGAGTCACCTTATTGATTTCTTTCAATCATTCTGAAATACATTCCATTTAACAGATGAGGAAACTAAAGCTAAAGACGTAAGTAACATGTTCAGACTCAGAGATGTGAAGAGCTAGGACTCAGCAGGTCCTGTCATACAATTAAACATGTGTGTGGTGTGTGTGTGTGTGTGTGTGTGTTAGCAAAAGTGTGGAAGTCAGAGGATAACCTGTGGAAGACGTTTCTCTCCTTCAACCATGTGGGTCCCAGGAATTGAACTCAGGTCATCAGAATTGCTGACAAGCACCTTTAGCTGAAGAACCATCTTGCCAGCCCCCAAATAGAGAATTTAACAGCCAGATGGTGGAAGACTTCTACAGCAATGTGGCTAAGTCTGTGGGAGGGTCAGCAGCTTTAACTTCTACCCACACCAGAAGAGCTCCCACGGACATCGTCAGGAAAAACAGCTCAGTGGAGTTATTTGAAACTTTGTGGGTTTTTTTTTTTTTTTTAATAAAGGAAATAACTCTCTTAAATCCACTTTTCTGAAAATAAAGTGTCTGAAAATGCATTTCTTATTAAATGTACAGTATGCTAGAATGTGCATAGTTCACAGAATCATTTAAACTCAGTTAATAGCTTTCAAAGTCATTTTTTAACTTTTAAAAAATTTTTATTTATTTTATTTTATGTGTATTTGTGTATTGCCTGCATGTAGGTAAGTGCACCTGCATAAGGTAAATGCCCTTGGAGGTCAGAAGAGGCTGCTGGATCCCCTGGGACTGGAGTTACAGACAGTTGTTAGCTGCCACGTGGGTGCTGGGATTTGAACCCAGGTCTTCTGCAAGAACAACCAGTGTTCTTAACCACTGATCCATCTCTCCAGCCCCTCAAAGTCATTTTTTTTTCTTTTTGAGACAGGGTCCCCCTGTAGCCCCAGCTGACCTGAACTCACTATGTAGACCAGGCTGGCCTTGAACTCACAAAGATCCGCCTGCCTCTGCCTCCCAAGTGCTGGGACTAAAGGTGTGCAGCACATGCCCGGCTCAAAGTCATTTTTTAATGATGGAGGGATTAGTTCTCACAAACTGTTGGAATCTTTGTTTAACTTTGAGACATTATTAAGGCTGTGAAGTTGGTATGGAGGCTCACACCTATAATCCCAGCACTTGGGAGGCTGAAGCAAGAGGACTGGGAAGAGTTCAAGGCCAGCGTGGGCTACTTAGTGAGTTCTGAGGCAGCCTGGGCTACAGGGTGAGACTGTCTGAAAAACAAAACAAAAATGGAATGAATGAAAACAGACATAACATTTTATCTTAATGATATAACATGATAAATGATTAAATTAACATAAGCAATGTCTGAGCTAATTTGGGGGACACTCAGAATTCAGAAACAAGAGCCAGTATTTGAAAAGAAAGAATAATGCCTTTCATAATGTCATAATTTGGGGGTTTTTTGTTTTGTTTTTGATGGGGGGGTTGCTTTTTATTTTTTAGGTTTTGTTTGTTTGTTTTTGTTTGTTGAGACAGGGTCTCACTACATAGGTATGGCTGGCCTGGAACTTGCTATATAGACCAACTCACAGAGATCCACCTGCCTCTGCCTCCAGAATGCCAGGATTAAAGGCATGCCCACCCCATCTTTCCTGGCACAGCTTCATCATTTAACAGCTATTTTTATGCCTCATCCGTAATGACTTTTAGTTGCTTATTCTAACCTCAATAGATGGTACTTCAGAATGATTAGGGAGATATTGTCATACTTTATTAATCTATCTTAATTTTTTTTTTTCGGTCTTTTTGAGACAGGGTCTCCCTCAGCCCCAGTTGACCTGGAACTGGCCTTGAACTCACAGAGATCTGCCTGCCTCTGCCTCCCAAATGCTGGGACTAAAGGCATGTGCCACCATGCCCAGCCTTAATCTAGCTTTCTTTTTTTTTTTTAATTTTATTTATTTAATTAATTTTATGTGTATGAGCGTATTTCCTGTGTGTAACTAAGAGCACCTGTGTCGTGCAATGCCCTTGGAGGGCAGAAGAGGCTGTTGGACCCCCTGGGACTGGAGTTACGGACAGTTGTTAGCTGCCATGTGGGTGCTGGGATTCGAACCCGGGACTTCTGTAAGAACAGTCAGTGTTCTTTACTGCTGAGCCATCTCTCCAGCCCCCTCTAGCTTTCTTTTTTAAAGACAGGGTTTCACTATGCAGCCCTGGCTGGCCTGGAAGTTGCTATGTAGACCAGGCTAGCCTCAGACTTATAGAGCTCTCCCTGCCTCTGCCTCCCAAGTGCCAGCGTTGCAGGTGGGTGCTGTTTAGACTTTATAACTGTTGGAGTGGAAGAGATGGGAGGGGTGTCCTGTCTATGAGGGGACACAGGGGCAGGGGTATCGGAGGCAGGGTCTGGAATCAAAGTAGAGGTTAGATACAGGAGGGATAAATGGTTATTTGAGCTAGAAGCCAGAATAGGAGAGACTAGGGAATACTTGGCAAGGTATTTTAAGGTTTTGGATTTCCTCAAGTAGAGGAGAGTCAGTGGAAGGAGTGAATGATGGACTTGGAGCGGTGCTGGAGAGGGGGAACCACGCCCAGCCCTCACATTCTTTTAAATGATGAATTTGGGGTACTCACAAGTGCTTTTCAGAGCTAAACTTTGTCTTGTTTTGCTTTGGTTTTGAGACAGGATCTCAGTATATTGCCCAGGCAGTCCTTAAACCTAAGATCCTATACCTCAGTCTCCTGAGGAGCTAGGACTACAGAGGGATATCACCATACCCTGCCCTTATGTATTATTATAAAGGTTTGAATACCCATCTGTTATAATTAAAGCATGTGTGCAAGCAAATTAAATTGCATTTGTATTTCAACAAGAGTATTCTAAATGTCTTGTACATCAAGTTTGGAGATCAGATGGCTTTAACATCTTCGTACCTCATACTTATAATCAAGCTTCAAAGAACAACATTCCTTTACAACAAAAGACTCAAGATCTAAGTTCCTTGCTTCTTCAAGGAATACCATCAGAAAAACACTACAGCATCAGTCAACATTTTCTAGATTGTTCCGCAAAGACTAGAGATTCATTCAAGGGCCCATGTTCACAGTGATGGAGCAAGTTCCTTCATCCATTGGTGCTCTGAGTTTCTCTTGAGAGGCCCTCGGGGAGGTTGGAGGGAGAGGTCTTTCTCATCAGTACAATCTAGGATCCTGTTGAGACTCTGTCCACAAGTCTCCCCTGAATCCACCTCTCCCTGTAGACAGGCCTGGAGTATGAAGAGATGCCCAGTCCAGGTGAACACATTTGGGACTGAACTTTGCACAGTGAATGACAGTTTTCCTCCAGACACCTGCTCAGAGCACTCTGACTAAAATACAACGTGAGGAAGCTGTGGATGCGGGGAGCTTGCTGACTCCACGTTTTCCCAGTTCAAGTCTTACAGAGCATCCCGGAGGTCATGATCCACAGTGGACTGGGTATAAGAGGAGCTGGGGGTGTCAGCCGAATAGAGCTGGAGAAAGTCACAGTATTGGCAGAGCAGGAAGGGACCCTGGCAGGTTCTGAAGAGCTGGCCGATGTACTTGCGGAATTTCTCCCCCAGAAAAAAGTAGATGACTGGGTTGAGGCAGCAGTGAACAAAGGCCAGGGTTTCTGTGGCCTGGATGGCATAGTCCAGGTACCGTTCCAAGGTGCAGTCTTGAAGGACTTCCAGTTCTACCAGAGTCTCCAGAAAAAGCACTATGTTGTAGGGCGTCCAGAAGCCAAGAAACAGGACCACCACAGCAAAGATCATCTTCACCGCTTTGCTCTTTTTCTCGTTCTTGCAGTGCTGTAAGGTTCTAATGATCATAGAATAACAGAACAGCATGATGCCCAGGGGGATGACCAGCCCTAGGACATTGACCTCCAGGGAGCTGAGGACCTTCCATGTGGTGGAGTTAACCGAGTACTTGGTTTTACAGTAGGTATGGTTGTGCTCAGTGTAACAAGTGCTGAACAAAAGGCCAGGGAGGGAGACTAGCACAGCCATTGACCATGTGACCAAGCTGGTGATGATTCCATAGGTCAGGGTCCTCGCTTTCAAGGAAAACACTGCATGCACGATGGCCAGGTATCTGTCAATGCTCATGAGCATGATGAAGAAGATGCCGCTGTAAAAGCCCACTAAGTATATCCATGAAATGATCTTGCACAGACCTAGTCCAAAAACCCACTGATCTGCGGCGTAGTAGCCCCAAAATGGGAGAGAAAGGACAAATAGCAGATCTGAGATGGCAAGATTAAGCAGGTACACATCGGTCATAGACTTGAGCCGCTTATATTTGAACAGAACCAGAACCACCACAGAATTCCCAAAGAGACCCAACAGAAAGACCAAAGAGTAAAGAGGGGGCAGGAAGAGCCCCCCAAATGCCCTAATACCCTCCTTGGAGCAAGGCTTGGGCATGCTTTCATAGAGGTAGTAATTGTTGTACACAGTCTCATCCTGTGTGGTATCTGCTACATCCGTGGGGTTCATCTTTGAAATCGACAGGCTCCTCAACGCTGCTCTGGGCCCACACAGATGCAGCCAAGCAAAAGAGATGCCTATGAGAAAGAAAATGAATCAAAGGAGGGCTAACTGCAGGGCATAGCCACACCAGTTTTACCCCAGACTGTCTATGATAAGCCCTTTCCAGGACTAGGGGCCTGAGAGCCAGATAAAATCATCCCAAGGAGTCAGATGAGGTTCACATTCCAGTCTTCTCCCTGTCTGCTAGGAAACTCATTTCTCTCGTGGATAGAGGAGGATAGTAAACCCCTCTTCAAGAAGGTATAGTTTAAGGACAGGTTTCTAAAACATGGTCTGTATGGCCAGTGAAGTGACCTCTACTGTATTATAGATACATAAATAAATAAAGATATTATTTTAGTGGAGTGTGATCATGCAAACTTTAATTCCAGTACTCCGGAGGCAGAGGCTAGCAAATCTCTGTAAGATCAAGGCCAGCCTGGTCTACATAGCAAGCTCCAGGCCAGCTTCTAGGGCTACAGGGAGACCTTGTCTCAAAAAACAAAAACAAACAAAAAAGATTCACATTCAGGAATAACATGATCAATTGTTATTCCCAGCCTTTTCTGACATATAAAAAATAAAATAAAGGTGTACAGATACATGCCTTAAATCACAGCACTCAGAGGCAGAGACAGGAAGATCACTGCAAGTTCAAGGCTTTCCTTGTCTACATAGTGAGTTCCAGAGTTCCAGGCCAACCAAGGATATACAGTAAGACCCTACCTTAACACACACACACACACACACACACACACACACACACACACACAGGGTGGAGCTGTAGAGTGCCTGCCTAGCATAAGCAAGTTTCTGGGTTTCATCCCCTGCATTGGCAAATCAAACCAAACAGAAAACACTGTATTTCTCTCACAGATAGATCCTAACTTCAAATTTCAGAAAATGCTTTAAGTCACCCAATTCTGCTAAAAGGAATCCAGGCTGTTCGCCTGCTCTTGAGAGGATCTAACTCCTGCATGCTTGGTACTCTAGAGACTGCAGAGAGTCCTCACCAGTGCCATACATTCAATGCCATCCCTCACAGAAACAGCACTAAGCAGACTGATCCATGGACTCACCTGACTCATGAGAGACTCAGGTTAAGTGACTCCCAAAGACCACACTGCTATGTATAGAACCTGTTCTTTGGGCCCAAGTCCCATTGACGTGCCGGTAAGGCAGGGCTCAGAGCAGAGCGAAGAAAAGCTCTTATCTACAGCATCTGCTAGTCTCTTTGGTGTGCAAACTCCCACCTGGACAATTCCAAGGTACCAATCACGTCACAAAACTGCTGAGCATGAAGCAATCGGCTCCAGGGAGCTGGTGCCAGTCTGTTCCAAACCCTGATGTCAAGTCCCTGTTTGAAGGCAAGTGGGGACACAGCTGGCCTTCTGGCCATGGCCAATGAGCCACTGCTGGGCCAGCTTGATACTAATGTAGTTTATGTGTTTACAAAGGCAGAAAGCGATGGGCATGGTGGTGTACTCCTTTAATCCCAGCACTCAGAAGGCAGAGGCAGGTGGACGAGTTAGGACAGCTGGGCCACAGGGAGGCTCTGTCTCAAAAGACCAAAAAACAAAACAAAAACAAAAACAAAAAACAAAAAAAGGCAGAAGGCAATTCTTGTTAGGTGACTAGAGGGAACTTTTTGGTTTTTTCATCAAACCACATGTAAAAATCAATGCACACACTGAATCCTGTGACAGTGCACACCTGACAGATCTAGAACAGAGACAAAGAAACCTCCCCAACTGCCCGTTTCCTATCTAAATTGATGGGTTGTAGCCAAAGTGGCCATCCCAGCACTCAGGAGGTAGAGATCAGTAGTTCAAGGCAAGTCTGGACCACATCAGACCTTTTCTCAAAAATAAAGCAGCGCTTATGAGACAACTTAGCTTGCCACCAAGCCTGACCACTTCAGTTCCATCCCAGGGCCCAACACAGCAGAAGGAAAGAACTAATTCAAGAAAGTTGTCCTCTGACCACACACACTGTCATACCCACACCCACATACAAACATAAACACACTAAATGAATGTAGTAGAACAGTAAAAAATGAATTTGTAGATGCAAAAGTTAAAACCTTCTTACTCTTGTTGGGCATGGTGGGGGCACACCTTTAGTCCCAGCACTTGGGAGGCAGAGGCTGGTGGATCTCTGTGAGTTCAGGGCCAGCCTGGTCTACATAGTGACTCAGGACAGCTGGGGCTACAGAGAGACCCTGTCTCAAAAAGACCAAAAAAAACAAAACTTCTTACTCTTATATGCACACATGCTTATCTAAGTAATGTGGTCACATCTGATTCCTCCCTACATCTTACATCCTCATTAACACATACCTGAATGCCCTGGTGTGTGTATGTGGTATGGCACACACATACACATACCTATGTGGGTACATTCACCTGTGCCTGTACCTGTGGAAGCTTAAGGTCAATGTTGGGCATCTTCTGTTATAGTTCTCCACCTGATTTTTTTGAGACAGACTCTCATCACTGAACTTGGAGCTCTCTGTTTTGGGTAGACTGACTGGCCATTGAACCCCTGGGATCTGCCCATCTCCAGTCCCCAGAGCTAGGATTACAGGTGCATGCCACTGCGCCTGGTTTTTACTTGAGTGCTGGGGCTATGAACTCAGGTCCTCACATTTATGCAGCAAGCACTTTATCTACTTAGCCATCTCCTCAGCCCCTGCCCTGGTGTTTCGCAAGAGAGTTCCTCCTGACAAGACCCATGGAAAGGCATACTGAAAACTTGCTGCATGCGTCTCCTAAGAAGTTTGTCATGGAGCTGGAGAGATGGCTCAGTGGTTAAAAACACTGGTTGTTCTTGCAGAAGACCCGGGTTCGAATCCCAGCACCCACATGGCAGCTAACAACTGTCCGTAACTCCAGTCCCAGGATATCCTCTTCTGACCTCTGCGGGCATTGCATGACACGGGTGCACTTACCTACATGCAGGAAATACACGCGTACACATAAAATAAAAATAAATAAAATTAAAAAAAAAGTTTGTCATTGTCATTGAGTGTATTGTGTCTCTACCATTGTGCCAGTGAAAATTTAAAGGACAAAGTAAGATAAGAGTGAGGACAGCCTCAAAAGAACAAATGAACAAGGACAGCCCAACATGATGGTGCTTGCCTATAATCCCAGCACATGGGAGGTGGCAGCAAGAAGACCAGAAGTTCAAGGCCAGCCTTGGGTACATAATAAGTTTGAGGCTAGGCTGGACTATGTGAGACTCTGTCTCAAAAACCACAAATTGGGCCAGCAAGGTGGCTCAGCAGGTAAAGACACTTATCACTAACCCTGAGTTTGATTCCCAGGTCCCACAATGGTGGAAAGTGAAAACAGATTCCTGCAAGTTGTCCTCTGACCCTGGCTGGGTATAACTGAGTACCCTGGCATATATATATAGAGAGAGAGAGTATACACTGAGTACCCTGGAACACACACATACACACACACACACACACATATATATACAATAAATATTTATGTAATTTTTTGGTCTATTTGACACAGGGTCTCCCTGTAGTCAGTCCCAGCTATCTTGGAACTCACTATGTAGACCAGGCTGGCCTTGAACTCACAGATCCTCCTGCCTCTGCCTCCCAAGTGCTGGGATTAAAAAAGTGAGTCACCACGACCAGCAGTAAAATTCATCTTTTCTATGGTTAGTCATCTCTAGATCTTTCAGAGATTTCCTTGGTTTATTTTAAATTTTTTTCTTAAATTTTATCAAGTGGGGGTGAGTAGGAGAGGGGAGTTGAAGGCTTGGAAGGTGTGGGGACAGGTGGAGAGAATGTAAACTCCAAGACAGCAGTGAGAACCAGCAAGATGAAGAAGCCCGAGTGTCAGGCTTCAAGGGTGACTGGCCACCTGTCAGCGCTGCCTCCCACCACACACACCCACAGCACTGTATCTGCAGACCCTACAGACATCCCCATCCCTGCTTACCTTGCTGTTCTCAAAGTGGTCTGAGGAAGGTCTGTGAGACGATGCCAGGTTCACTGAAGCAGCACAGGTGCCTTTGAAGGATGTGCGGCTTCCTGTGACACCAGCTCTAACCCTCACCCATCTGTGCTGAGTTCAAGTGGGGCTTCTTGATAGAAGTTAAGAATCGACAAAAAAAAATACTGAGTGACTCATTTCCCCAAACTCAAAGCCGGGAAGGCTTGGTTTCTTCTATAAGAAAAAGAAAAATTAAAAGAAGAGTCGGGTGCAATGGTACACGCCTGTGATTCCAGCACTTGGGAGGTAGAGGCAGAAGGATAAGGAGCTCAAGGTCATCCTTGGCTACATAGTAAGTTTGAGGCCAGCCTGGGCTACATTAGACCCTGCCTCAAAAAAGAGGGGGTGCTGAAGAGATGGCTCAGTGGTTAAAGGTACTGGCTGCTCTTGCAGAGGACCCAGGCTCAGTTTCCAGCACTCACATGGCAACTAACAACCATTCGTAACTCCATTTCCAGAGGATACGACGCCCTCTTCTGGCCTCTGCGGGCATTGCATGCACATGGTTTGCTTATATACATGCAGGCAAAAACATACACATAAAATAAAAATAAATCAGAAGCTGGGCGTGGTGGCACATGCCTTTAATCCCAGCACTTGGGAAGCAGAGGCAGGTGGATATTTGTGAGTTCGAGGCCAGGCTGATCTACATATGAGTTCCAGGACAGCTGGGGCTACTGGGAGACCCTGTCTCAAAAAGACAAAAAAAAAAAAAAAATCAGAAAAACTTTAAAAAATGAAGATAGACTTTTTTCTAAGCTTTTTACTTTCTAAAAGTTTATTTGTTGTGAGTTAGAGATAGAGCCCAGATGGAAAGCAATTGCCTAGTGTAAGTAAGGCCTTGGGTTCAATCCCAGCACCACATAGATGCACAAAATATTTGTTGGCTGTTTAACTGAAAAACAAACCTTCCTTTTAACTGATAATACACAGTAGAAATATTTCTTAGGT